GCATTGTGTATAAGTTTCATAACATTTGGTTGAGGCAAACGTAAGTTAGAGAATGGAAACGAAAAATTCAGCAGTTTTTTCCATTTGTAAAGAGGCAAATTTTCTATCTGTCATGGTTCCCGCACAAAACAGATAAAAATCGATTTAAAGGTTCACTTCTATAGGGGGTACTGACACGAAAAGGAGGTCGACCAAGATGCCAGGCTACAATAGTCAACAGTCACTCTAGAACGGTAAAAGTGATGCCACCAAAATTCAAACTTGATCTATGGTTTGTGGTAATAAGCATTGTGTATAAGTTTCATAACATTTGGTTGAGGCAAACTAAAGTTAGAGAACGGAAACCAATTTGGCGGGGACGTACGGACAAGGGTAAAACTTAATGCCCCTCCCCTACGGCGGGGGCATAATAAAATTCTGAAAAATGGACAGTTTTGGACGATTTTTCAACAAATAAAGTTCCACAACTTCACAATGTCATATCAGTAATTTATAAAAAAACAAAACAAAAGGGAGCTTAATTCATTAGATATAAACAAGTCACCAGTTTCATGAAAATTGAAAAAAAGCGTTTATGAGTTATTGTCTGAAAACCGGAAAATCGCCCCCCCCCCTTTTTTATGAATAAACTCATAATACTCCAAAACGTAATGTCAGATTTTTTTTTAATTCGAAAGGGAACGTTTGTCAATATATTTAAACAATTCACCAAAGTGTCATGAAATGTGCTCATAGTAATTTTGAGTTATAGTCGGAGAACTGGAAAATCCCCCATTTTTTATGAAAAAATCCCTTACCTCGGAAACATAAAGTCTAAAATTTATATAAACAATTCACCAAAGTTTCATGAAAATTGGTGAAAGCGTGTTTGAGTTATAGTCTGAAGTGTTGACGACGGAAGTACAACAGTATACCATAATGTGTCCCGTAAACAGGCATAAAAAATCATCTTTAAAGGGGTCACAACTCCTATAACAGGTCAGGTAACTATTTTCACAATAGTGACTGACATGTAGATCTTATCATTTTTACAAATTGCAGATCCTCTCCAACTGCTTCATTTTCCCGACTAAAAGGTTAAAATCCTTCAAGGGCAATAACTCCTGTAAGGAATCAATTGTAGCCTGGCATCTTGGTCGACCTCCTTTTCGTGTCAGTACTAAGTCTACTGTTGAGCAGTGAGCAGGATTCCAGTCTAGAATCGACTATCTTGGCCCTGTTGACTTGTTTGTAGAAAATATTGTGCTGACCATCGTTGCAATTACTATTTCTCTCTTATTTCCTATAGTTTCTGAAAGAAAGAAGATAAAACTTGCTTTCAAGGAACAACAACTATAAGAAATCAATTGATGATTACAGCTAAGATTTATCTGAAAATCAAATTGTACTGACCATTTTTGCTATTTCTGCAAAAACACTCAAAAATTTGGTAAAAATTGTCTTTCAAGGGCAATAACTCCTGTCAGTCTGGACTTATTTGTAGATCCTATTGTTCTGGTCATATTTACTATTTTAAGATTCTATCTATCTATAATAGTTTTCAAGATATTAACAAAAACCTGTGAAATTTGCTGAAAACAGACACTTCAGGTACAATAACTCAAAGTGGGTTTTCAGAATTTTCAGAATTTTTGGTTTGTTAAAAAATGATCTCAGTGAAATCATGTTTTCTGTGATTTTAGACTCAACACTTCACTATGTTTCTTTTGAAATGTTAAGGAACATGTAGTCTGATTTGAAAATTCAATTTGATGCCACCTGCAAGTTTTTGTTTAATTCATAATTGAATGGTGTTACAGCAGATAAGAAATTCATTTTAAACACATAAAAGTGGTAACTAAGAGTACTCTCAGATCTGTACTTAAGTGTCGGATGAATAAATACCATACCATGTCCGGACTGTGTTTATGTTTGATGTTTTTCTGCTTTGTATCCATCTGATGAGTTAAGCCTTTTTCAACTGATTTTTATAGTTTGATTCTTATGTTGTACTGTTACTCCACTGTCCCAGGTATGGGAGGGGGGGGGGGGGGGGTGGAGTGCTCACAAACATGTTAAACCACCACATTCTTAATGTGCCTGCCCCAAGTCAGGAGCCTGTAGTTCAGTGGTTGTCACTGGTTCATGTCTGTCATATTTGTTTTGTTATAAATTAGGCCGTTAGTTTTCTCAATTGAATTGTTTCATATTTTTCATGTCGGGTCCTTTTAAAACCTACTATACAGTATGGGTTTATCTCATTGTTGAAGGCTGTACGGTTGCCTATAATTGCTTACATCCACTTTTTTTTTAACTTTGGTGGATAGTTGTCTCATTGGCAATCATACCTAATCTCCTTATTTTTATATTAAACCCAACAACATTTGTGCTTGTTCCAAATTAGGCTCTATGAACCATGTGCTGTTCTTTATCTTTGGAGGCCCATGTGGCCAAGTGGTCTAAGTAGTGTATCACTAGCCTGTCAACAGTGAGGTTGAGAGTTTGAACACTGCATGTGATAGGTGCATTTGAATCTAATCTTAAATGCTGAAATTTGTTGGTTTTCTACAGGCACTCTGGCTTCCTCCATCAATAAATACTGACCGCCATGATATAGCCGATTGTGCTGAAAGTGGCATTAAACACCAACAACCAATCAATCTTTGTCTGTTTTGTATGTCAGAACTTGTGAAGAGGCCGTTTCTTGTTGGTTGATTTGGTCTGTTGTACTGTAATTTTGACAATAGTCCTGTTACTATACCTTTTTCATATATCATTCAAGAGGGTGTGGATGGAGGATTACAGAATAGAGAATAATGGGCAAAAAATAAAAAGAATAGAGAATAAAATGCTTTGCTGAGCACAGCCTGATACAACCGCAGAGGTAGAACCCTGAGCAGTTGGGACAAGTTTGGACACAATATTCAAGCTTGATACTGTCTGAATTTGGATTGTGATCAAATTGTTGACATAATATAGGTTGCTGAAACAAAATAAATGTGGTCAAAGATTTTAAAAATTTGAAATGGGACATTTAATTTTCCTAGTATGGTCTGATATCCAAAATCTAACAACATAGTTAGATTCAGCATATAAAAAACACCAAACATTTAATTTTAGTTGAAATCAAACAAAGTTTAATTTTGGACCCTTCAAACCTTATTATGGACTAATTTGAAAACAGGGCCCAAAATAAAAAATCTAAATGCACAATAACATTCAGCATATCATAGAGCCTCATTAATTAAGTTTTTGATAAAATCAAACAAAGTTTAATTTTGGACCCTTTGGACCTCTATGTAGACCAATTTAAAAATGGCGCCTAAAATCAAAAATAGTAATACAAGGTTAGAACCCCCCCCCCTCCCCAATTTTTTTTTGAAATTTTGAAGATAATTTTCTTTTCAGGAAAAATGTACAATTTTAGAGAGTTCCATAAACTTAAACACAAGTTACTGTCTGGAAACTAGAAAAATGCGTTTTTGGCTCCTTTTTGTCCCTCATTTCAAACATTTGGGGCAATTACCCAAAACTCAATCCCAGCCTTCCCTTTGTGGTATGGAACCTTGTAGTACAATTTCAGAGAGATCCATACACTTAAACACAAGTTTTATTGAACCTATATGCTGGGAGTACCATGAGATGCGCACGCAGATCGTAGAGGTCACTAGCGTATTTGGTCTTATGAGGTCAAGTCATGGAATTTATTCCTCTTATGTTTATTTGAAAATAATGGATATCTTAATTGTTTTTAACTGGAAATTAATATATTTGTGACATTTGGAATACAAACTTTACGATTTGATATAGTTTTTGGATGGATTAATATTCTAACGATGTAGCTTGTGATGGATAATTTGTCACGTTGTCAGCATACATTTGTTAATGACATGGCTGAACATTCGAGCATTGACTCGGTATCGGAACTTTCTGGCACGGCCAAGACTAGTTCCAAAAGTGACAATATTTTTAGCATTATGAATGACCACAGGCAACTTATTTCGCCAGGTTATGATTTGATGAGGCTGTAATAAATTACAGTGAACATGAGTAACAGATCACATATCTCTGAAATCTCATGGTACTCTCAGCATATAGGTTCAATAAAATTGTACAATTAAATGAGACTTACCTTAAGTCGAAATTTGATTGTAATTTTGTTGAACCTATTTATGCTGAGAGTTAACATGCCCTCCCTATCACTCGTATTCCCACCCAGTTTTCTTTTGGTGTATCATGTGCATATGTGCTCTGTTACATTCTCTGAAAAGTGACCTCTTCGATCTGCGTGCGCATCTCATGTTAACTCTCAGCATAAATAGGTTCAACAAAATTACAATCAAATTTCGACTTAAGGTAAGTCTCAATTGTACAATTATTGTCTGGAAACTAGTAAAATGCTTGTTCTTGGACCCTTTTTTGCCCCTAATTTCTGAACGTTTGGGGAAATTAACCCCAAACTCAATGTCAGCCTTCCCTTCGTGATATGGAACCTTGTGGTACAATTTCAGAGAGATCCATACACTTACACACAAGTTTTTGTCCGAAAATACAAAAATGCTTGTTTTTGGCCCCTAATTCCTAAACTGGTGGTACCATAACCACCAAAATCAATCCCAACCTTCCTTTTGTGGTATTGAACCTTCTGGTAAAATTTCATAGAGATCCATTCACTTAAACTAAAGTTATTGTCCAGAAACCAATTGTGTCTTCGGACGACGACACCACCAACATGATAGCATTATACGAACGCAAATTTTTTGCGGTTGTGTAAAAATGGACCAAAAAATAAGGAATAGAGAATAATGAGGTGCTAAACTATGAAGAAGAAAATAATGGGCAAAAAGTATAAAGAATAGAGAAAAATGAATTAAAGAATACAGAAATGAAGGATCCCCCATCCAGCCCCTCATTCAATCACAGATACAATGAAACTGATTAAGTAGGACAAGAATACTTTTTTTAAACAAACACTCTCTTGTAAATGCCTCCAAGCATATCATAATTAAGAGTCACGAAAATAATGTGCAAAAATAATTTTATTATTTTCATGACACCATTCGAGATAGTATGAGACACTCCACAACTACATGTACGACAACAAAGGCAGTAAAAATGAGGCAGGTCACTGTAGTCAGCACCCAAGAATAAATGACATACAAAAAGAATGGCTAGAATATATAAATCATTATAAATTTTCTCATAACTTAGTCTGAAGAAATTTTCCAATTAATTTCATTTTAACAATAAAAATCATACTTTTTTCATTTACATGAAATCTTTCTACCCATGTGGTACAATTAACTACTAGTTGTAACCTATACAAAAAAAATGTTTAACAACATATTGAATTTCAGTGATAGTTCAACTTTTCCTCATTATCAACTTGTACATTGTATTTAAAACAATTGAAGAATCTATTTTTCTGTACATGTATATCAAGTTGAACAAAACATGATACTAGACCATGGTCTTTACAAATAATAGGTCTTTAACAAATGTTCAGTCTTAAGCAAATGATCTGTCTTTTAAGGGCTGTTCTTGTTTGTCAATTTCATTTATTCATTTCCCTCACAGCTTCGTTAATATCATCAAACTGGTTCTTTAACTTTTCCCATTGGTCTAGAGGTAAAGAAATACCTGTAAAAATAAGAGGACATTTAATTTCTTTGCAATACAAGTTAAAATGTAAACATGACACAACTACCTAAATGCATTTGTACACCAGGAATGCCCCTCCTTGCTGCCACATTTATTTGCATACATGTAATATGCATAATTAAAAATTCCAAGTGCAGTAATTCCTTGAAAAAAGTCATCTGAATTCAAACCCATACTCTATCTTTAACTCACAAATATAAACTTATTAACCAATTATCAGTTTATCAGTTTATTATTTACAAACATCACATAAAAGTGGAGATATCTGTTGGATTTCAATATGGAGCCAGCACATAGAACATGTAGAAATAGAACTCTCTGACAAGTTGAAATATTATTCCTTGCTTTTGAAAAATCAAAATGAATTGAAACATCCTACCAACATGCACACTTGTACATGAATATAATGATTTCAAAAGTACATGTACCGGTAGTATGTACATAAAGATCTTATACCATGCTTCATTAACAATGTACTGACCATATTAGAGGAGTTACAAACAAGACAAAAATAGGTACTGAAAAAAAGTAAAATGTTCCAAGGGATATAACACTATAAAAACTCTTTGAAAAAAATCCTTTGTTCATATCAGAATCTAATTTCATATTCTGTTTAATGAAAGGTGAAACTGAAAAACACACAGTCTTTTGTTTGGAATAATAAATAATTGTGCATTGTATTTGCATATCATCTGTTCAGAACAAGGAAACTTGGTCAGAACATTTTCAGTAGATTTTCAATTTTCTATTAAAGAATATGGATTTTCCATACAATATCTGAGAGCCAACAACTTTCATGACTTTATTTTTCCCTATCAATCTTAATATTTAATATCCTTATAATGCCTCACCTTTTTTTCCAGGCCTTAATTCACCATCAGCCTCATAGAACTCCCGGATTCCTACCATAACTTTGCCTCTAAACTCACTAACTGATACCCATCGGTTTCTTGAAATCTGAAGAAGAAAAAAAAATTAAAAATAGAATGTGTTCATTAGACACTGATGGACCCACCCACAGGATATACATATAGGCAGAAGTAGCATCCGATATTTCTGAACGATATATACATGTAGGGTTGTGAATAAACTTCTAAAGCCTAGTTTCTGGCAGTGAATGCATAAAAAAAACTGTTCAGGAACCATCATCTGTTCGCTGCAATGGACAACATTGCAACTTCATCTTTGTATCTTACAAACCACCAGTTCAAAATTTTTTCACATTATCAAGGCAAAGAATAACAAATATGAAATCAGTCAAATCAGAAACTGACCTGTGTTCAGTAAACCCTAAAAAAACCTCCAAATTTCAATTGATTTAGTGGAGGATTCCTCAAGTTATTGTGTTGATACCTAAAATTTTGTTATTTTTTCCCTTAAGTAGGAGCATTCCTTCTAAAGAAATACAATGTACATGTACAAAAGTCTGCCAAATTCAAACTTGACCTGTATTTAGTGGTTCCTTACAACATTTCCAAATTTCATTTCCATATGTAGGCTTGTACTTGAATTATAATGGTTTACTTTTACAAATTGTGACTTGGATGGAGAGTTGTCTCATTGGCACTCATACCACATCTTCTTATATTTCTATTGTACGTTTTAGAGTCTATATAACAAACATGGAAATTACAGGACCAGACCAGACTTGGTGCAGCAAATTTCTGATGGATTGATTGTTGTTTGCTTTATGTACAGTGGCAAATATTTTATGCATGTTATGGACAAGAACAAATTAATAATACAGTATGTATAGGGGTCTAAATAGTGGGCCAGAACTCAGGAATGACAGTACACTTGACCATGAGAATATATTGGATAGGGACAGAAATTTAGCCTTACAACAGGTCACCTACCAACTTCTCAAATAGTTGTTATAAGGATTCATCACGCGCAGAGAGCGTGGCATATTCTCTACACTAGGAATCAGATTTAATGTCTTTATCCTGAATAAATGTGGCTGCAAATTTATACATCATTCACAGCCAAACAGACGGCTGTCTGTAACAAGGGTTTTATTGCCGTTTGGAAAAAGACCAAGGGATGACTATAGTCAACCCAACCGGTGCCTGCAAATTTCAAGTAAATAAATCAGAAAATTCCTTATTAATTTTATTCCACAATATGTACACTTTTGTAACTTTTATTTATATACCGGGTAGTTTTTCTTACCATAAATGCCCCTCTTGGTATCATGAGTCAATTTGTACAGGAAATTACTAAAACTGCAAGCCTTTCAGTGAATAATTACTCTTCTAGCTACAGAATTATTTTTTTTAAATCCTTTGCAAGAAAAATATTGAATACTTGCATTTGTAAGCTTCAAAATTTGTTTTGAAAATGAAAAATTACCTGGAAAGTTCTTTCTCCAGATTTTCCAGGGCCAGAGCTTGCAGCTGCTTTTGGAGGTTCCTTCTTTTCTACTTTTTTCTCTACTTTTGTTTTCTTTTTCTTAGGTGCCTGCAACAATTTAGAGTTTTTACTCATAAAAAAAATCAGAAGTACATGTACATGCACATTAGAAGTATAAAAGTACACTTTACAAGAAGGTTAGTTCTATTTTACCAAAGACCCTTACAAATGTAGAAAATTGTGAGACATGTCAGACATTTAGGGAACTACTTTGTAGGATTCAGGTAATAGTACACTACTTACTTGGAACAGAACCTTGTCTCTGACAAATGTAATTTTAAAATCAGTGTATGTTCAAGATTTTGTCAATGAAGAAGCAGAAGTTAAACATGTTAATAAGAACAGCTTGCTGGACCCATTTACGATCCAAAACCTATGATATGTGTTTTATTTAATTCCAAGCAAAAGCAAGTTGTAAGATACGAAAATAAATGCCAAACCAATGGTTAAATGAAAATATATCTACAGCTGCCATGAATTATTTTGATTCTAATAGGTCAAATATGGTAATTTTGTCAACCGTGAAAGCCCTATACACATGATATTGTTTTAGATGGTCCATTTTATCTCCCATATAATAAAATAATACTATTCAATAAAATTAAATAAATTTTAAAAATATCACTTCTTTTTATCTAATTTTATTACATTCTGAGGCCTGAAAACTCCCATTGTTTACATTCGACGCTGGAAGCATACATATAACGTAACATTTTTTAGTTGCCAAAGGCAATAACATCATTTTGTGGAATTTTCGTTTTATGAAATTGAACACCAAAATATTTAACTAAAATGGAATGATTTGTTTATCTTGCATTAGAATAGAGTCATTAGAGATAACCCTATTGTATTTGACGTTTGGTCTACGTAAAACATGGGTTTAATTGTCGCAAATTGAGTTAACCTGGTCGTATAAATAAGGTGGGCATAACGTGGAACAGTCAATTTTGTGTTTTAATGCGTTTGCATTATAAGTACATGTACATGTACATGTAGATATACTGCCTGGTTGACAATATATTGGCCGTCATATTAGAATTTCAGTTATTATTGGAATCTGTCAGATACATTTGTAGGTATTGGTTTTATTGATATATAAATAATAGCAGTGTTCTCCCCAGGGCCTTTTAGCATCATGGTAATGTGATGCTATATTTTTTTAATGTGATGCTATCTGAATTGATTTTCTTATAGGTTGTGTTATGGATGTGATGCTATTTAGTATTATTTTTAGAAACAAGATGGTATTTCAAATTTCCCTGTTTCCCAGGATGCTATATGAAATATCTGCGGAGAACATTGTAATAGCATAAGCGCTTTAATAGAATGTCACATGGATGGATGCACTAGTTGCATACAATTTCCCTATTCAGGACCTGATATGAAACGATAAAACCACATGCATGTTACAACAGAAAATTAAGTTAGAGATTTACTAGAAAAATTTCGACATATTCTTACTTCATTATCGGAGTCTGATTCAGAGTCCGAGATGAATTCCTTGGATTTTGGCATAGCCTGAAATACAAAAATTATTTTAGTTGACATGTACATGTATGAAGAAAAAGTTTATTTGCATTGTATGTTGAAGTCTTTATTTAAATACTTACATGTCTTATCTTCTTTGTGATTCACAATTACTTTAATACTTATTTTTTCAACTTGATGCCTAAAGGAAAACCTTTCAAAACTATAATTAACATATACGTTAAATAACCATTGTAGCATTTTCCTTATTTCTATTATTTCAGCTACATGCATATGTACATGCATATGTAGTGGACTAATGTACACATAAGGTGATTTCCATTAAAAGATCATCACTTTTGCTCAGAAATGGTATTCGTCAAACTCTTTTGAGCTTCTGTCTGACATTTGGTTAGACTGTCATGCAAGTTTTATCAGATGGAACAGATTTTTTTTTCTGACAGAAAAGAGTCATGACCAATGATAATATATATAAATGTATTGTATTGCAGGACAGATATTGATTACAAAGAAACTATAACCCCCTGTCAGATCTAACTCCCAATTTGCCATTTCCATCAAACAAGTTTCAGTTTAGGTTAGTCTGGCAGAAATGACTATTTCCAAACCATTATCCCTAAGCATGCTTCTTTTTAATTCCGTTTGGGATTTCGACAGGTAAAATTTTGTACAAATTTTTTATCTTTTACAAATTAAAGTGACAAAATTGATCAGAAATACTTTGTATTTTGATAATTGTTTCATTAATGGCAAGCACTGGCTGGATCAACTTGGACCCGACTGACTGGAGCCTGAACAACTTGAACATGAAACCTCTGCTGAAAGCATTAATTTTTGAAACTTGAAAACCTTAGAATTAAGGGCAGTATTTTAAAAATTGGATTAAAAGTTTTATATTAGGACTTCAGCAATGTGTTGGTATAATTGATACAACTTCATCAGATGTACATGTAGTGAGTGTCATACCAGACTCAGGGTATTATTTTAGGAACAGTTCTATTTTAAACTTTTATAAATGACCTTCCTGATGTTGTGGAGGGCATTGTGAAAATTTTTGCTGACAACTGTAAAATATATTATTAAGTTTCATCCATACTAGTACTTGCCAACTTGCATTATATTCGCGTGTAATACACGCTTTTTCAACAGTTTACACGCTAAGATTTTGTCACATGGCGTGTACACGCTTTTTACCACTTTACACGCCATTACACGCTTTTTCATTGTTTTGATTTTTTAGTCGTTAGTGATATCGCTATTCTCTGTTTTTTTCATAATTAGAAGATAAATACCGAAAATTTCGAAGTATTCTTTGTTTATATTTTTATATGCTAATATGGACAAACAACATAAGTTCTACAGGTAAGTTTGTGAGTAGTTTTTAAGGTTTTGTGACTTTCTTTTTTTTTTCAAATTCACTTTGGGGAAATGTCCAGCAGGAAGAGGTCGCTTTCTGGTCCTGCACCATCGTCTAGTAAAGCTGACTGCTAAGCGAAACAACACTTTTGTACGTACCAAAAAAGTTGGGAGTCCGAGTTCAAATGGGTCAAAGAAAGTGATCGAGGGCCGAATAATGCATTGTGCACCTTATGACAAATAGCAATTCAGATTGTGAAAGAGCGTTTTCTATTATTAAGAAGATATACACTGAATTTCGATCTGAACTTGACAATGACACATTATGTGCATTGTTGTCTTGTAAATTTAATCAAACTGGCAGTTGTTGTTTTCAGTATGTGCCTAGTTGTGTTGTTCTGAAAGCAGCAAAACAGGCCACAGTTGAATATATTAAAAGTTTACAGTAGAATTTTGTTTTTTATATTAAAAAATTTATATACGGTAATAGATATAAGAAGATGTGGTATGAGTGCCAATGAGACAACTCTCCATCCAAGTCACAATTTTTTCATATTAAAAAGGCCGCATCTACGTCACGCATTTTCACACACTATTTGATATGTCATGTCATGACATGATTTGTCATTGTCAGAGGTTGGCAAGTACGGTTTCATCAGATAATGCGCACAGTAAATTGCAGGAAAAGTTTGTGTGAGTGGTCAAAAACTTTGAAGTTAAAATTTAATACTGCTAAATTTAAAGTGTTACATATTAATCCTGACAATGAACAACAATACTGATATACCATGTTGGATGATTCAGACAACTTTATTGCTTTATTAATGGTGAATGAAGAAAAGGCTCTTGGAGTAACTTTCGAGTCAAATTTAAAGTTTAAAATACATATAAGTAGTATTGTTAATAAAGCTGATCGATATCAACTGGATGTATCTTTTTACTTTAGCACCATCTATCATTTCTATAACAACTAGAGGTCACTCTTTAAAACTTTTTAAGAAACAGTGTAGGACAACACATAGACTAAATACTTTTTCAATTAGAGTAGAAAGTCAAGCACACCCTAGAAGGTGTACTTGAAATTGTCCATATTTATATTTGTTTTAACCAATATCTTAATTTATAAATTTGCTTTAGCATGTTTAGGGAATTCATTGCTAGCACTGCATGCAATAATCCTCTATCTATTAAGCACCGAGTTGTCAAATATTAGAGCACAAGTGGAAAGGCTGTGGATTTTTGATAAAATTTCCATGTTTAGCATTGAAACAACAAAAGGGTTCATAATCCTGAACTGCAGCATATGTTTGGGCATGTCAAGTCTTCCTTGACAGTCATTTATACATAAAAATTTGCATTTCATCAAATTCCAGAAATAATACATGCCCCCTCCACCCTTAATGAAGACACTAGAAATTATTTCCATACATTTTTATTGTTCTCAAACCCTATGAAAGACACTGGATTTCCATATTTTAGTTTAAAGAAAAAAAATTTAGTTAAGACAAATAGGTGGAAATCCAGACAATTTAGTAAAATCTGAAAAATTTCTCCTAGGAAAAAAAGTTTGACTTCGCATGTCTTCCTGTTCCATAGTCATGTCATAGTGGGGACCGACTATATTTCTGGAATAGCCCAAAATATCTACTCAAGGATTTTTATTTTTTAAATGCATATTAAAGCTTCGTTCATGTATAGCGTCTTAAGTCTCAGTTTTGTATTCCCAGTTAAAAGTAAGATAATACAGGTTCATGTGTTTACCTATTTAGTTACCAGCCGAATAGAATGTTCTTTACTAAAAATCAGAAAATTGCGGGTTTTTCTGTTTCGGTAACCGGAAGTATCAAGGAGCGGATTAGAATCCGATGATCTTTGATGTTTTAGGAAGACGACTCGTCCCCAAGATTTTAACCATTTTGTTTCGTCCCATGGCTCACAATATTAGCCCCCGGAATATAACGGTCAGTAAGTAAGGAAATAAATCTTTATTTCATTCAGCATATTAACAAAAAAATTATATGTCTCTGATTGAAATAAACAATAATTATTAAAAAAAAGCCCAACTCTACAGAGTACATTAAAAGCACATAAAAAACTATAATGAATATACCGTTCATATTCAAATAATGAAAGCCATGCAAGGATTCAGAACTACAGGTGCACAGCTATGATAACCCAATCCACTGCCATCTAATGTGACTTTGCCTGAGGGAGTTATTTTATTTTTTGTACGTTTATGATAATTCATTAAGGATTCATCGGAGAATTTAACTTAAAAATCAAACTATAAAATTAAGTCAGTATACCGAAACAACAATTTCTGACCTGGTGATACCTTCGGTAACTCAAATCAAATCAAATCAAATCAAAAGCTTTATTTAAAGTCGGCATGTCACAAAACAATAACATAAGCTCTTTGAGCTTTTATAACCGACAAATACATACATTTACACAATAAACATACACAATACTGATACTAAAGCATGAAGACATAAAACATATATTCAATGTACAGTTAGTCAAGGCTGAACTAATTTAAATACTAAACATTATATGCATGCATGAAAACTAAGCTAAAAGAAGCATTAAAGCAGCAACATAAAACACTTTAGCACAGCAATCACAAAAAATAAAACGCTAAACAAATAAAACACAAAAAGAGTGGAATTATAATAAGCAGCGCACTATCATGTTTCAAAACTGTAACATAAAACTTTAAAATAAATACTAAGCACATGCATTGCAATGGCATGAGTTGCCATTCCATGAATTTATTAGACTCTTGAATTGAGTAAAAGATGTTTCAGTTCTAAAGTGGTTTGGTAACTCATTTCATAGTTTGGCTGCAGAATATCTGAATGATTTCAAGCCATACCCTGTAGTTCTAACTGTAGGTATTTCAGCTAAGTTTTGACATCTGAAATAATATTTTGTTTCTTTTGTTTCTTACATGTTTATAAGATCACGTAGGTATATTGTATTTCCTTTGTTGACTGTTCTAAATACCTTTATTGCCATGGTTCTTATGCGTCTTACTTTAAGAGATGGCATTTTTTATTTCAAAAGTAAATCATCATATGTGCTATTGTGATCCTGGTAAATAAAGCGGAGTGCTCTTTCTTGTACTTTTCAATTTTAGTAGTGTTTGCCTCGCTGCAGAAATGCCAGGACAATGAGCAGAAGTTAAAGTTTGACATAATGAAAGAGTGAATATTGTTAAGTTTGTTCAGTTTGTTCAAGTATATACCAAGTCTTTTTAAGACATTAAGTTGTCTGGATTCTTTTTTGCAAATGTTAGATATATGTGTGTTGAAATTAAGTTCAATTGTGATGCATAATAGTTTGACCTCTTTTCACATTTTATTTTGTTACCTGCAATGTCAAATGTAATGTTTTTGTCCATTGTTTTTTTGCCAATTGCCAAAGCTTGAAAATTTTCAGGGTCTGCCTTCATTTGATTGGAAGAGAACCAATCTATCTGAGCCAAACTGTCTTTTTCAAGTGTAGAAATAACTGTGTCTATATCCTTATTTGAATGAGAAAGAAAGTGTATTGTCGTCAGCATAATTGTAGAGTGAACTATGTGAGGTGACGTGAAAGATATCATTTAAGAAAATGTTGAAACGTATAGGACCAAAAATACAACCTTATGGTACTCCTTTGTGTATATTTTGCCAATTTCTTACACTGGAGCCAACTCGAACACTGTTAGATAAGTAATTTTTCATCAGTTCTAGAGAAGAAGTTGAAAGTCCGACCATACGCTGCAAGCTTAAGCAGCAGAATATCGTGAGGAAGATATTCGAAGGCCTTAGAAAGATCCATTAGTATTGAGCAAATGAATTTATTTTATCAATTGCCATTTTCCAATCCTCAATTATTCTGAGTAGAAAGTTGATAAGTATGGTTGAAAGTGTGCATTGAAGTATTCAACTAGCTGGTTGTAAATTGCCCGTTCGAAAAAAATTGAAATAACAGGAAGTATCCTTACTGATCTATATATTGTTGCCTACGTCAAGTACATTGTTCTTTTTGTGCAATGGTACAACTTGTGCTTGTTTTAGTTGGTCTGGAAAAGTAGCTGATTTTATTATGGCAAGCCGTTCTCGTCAAAACTATGTTTAAACCATTTTTTCGAAAAAAAATACACACTGAGATTTAACAATGATTTGTATAGGATTTGTATAGTAAGACTTACTATACAAATTCTTGGATTTAAGAATCTAAAATAACACACTGACAAATCAAAATTATACAATCTGAGATTTAAAAAAATGAAAAACACGCACTGAGAATTTAAAATTGCACATTGAGATTTTAAAAAGACACACTGAGATGAAATAAATTGAAAAAAAACACACTGAGAATTGTTAATTACACAATGAGATTTCAAAAATACACGTTGAGATTAATATGCAAATTACTAATGAATATTCATGAGCTGAATAATTCAGCAGATTAATATCTTGGTCTCCCGAACTCTTGTCATTATAATGAAATGCGGTTCTTACAACCAACATTCGTAATAAATTTCAAGGCTTAACAACTTTTTTTGCTAACTTATATTCATAAGTTTGTTGCCTATAATTCAGATTATTACTAACAGTATATCGGGATTTTTTGCTTAAGACTGTTTAAGCATGGTCCCTTTTCAAAAGTCTTTCAACTGTTACCCTGATTTCGCAAGGTAATCTTTTATATTTTTGTTACGTTTATATGCTATATAATAGGCACTTTGGGAAAAAAATCACTGCATTGTTTGTATTTTTGCACAGTAGCAGACAAAATTGGAGCAGATGTGGTATATGACACCTCAAATCACCCAAGTATAAAAGAAATTTTGAGTAACAGAAAGCATATTTCTGACTTTGAATTCAAGAAAGTATCTAACAAAAATGTCAATAAAATAAACATCAAGAAGGCTACAGGAGCTGATGGTATTCCAGCAAAAATAGTAAAAAATTGTAAATCTTATATTGCACAACAGCTGACAACTCTTGTAAATTTGTCAATTGCAAATAACTGTTTCCTGATAAACTTAAAGTAGCCCAAGTGACCCCCCTTCATAAAAAGAGTGACCCATTATTAAAAACAAACTATAGACCAGTTAGTGTCTTACCCATATTTTCTAAAATCTTTGAAAAAATATATGAAATTCAACTAACTGAATACTTTGATAAAATATTTAATCCTTTTTTGTGTGCTTTTAGACGTGGACATGGATGTCAGACCACACTTCTCAGAGTGTTAGAAGATTGGCGTGAAGCTCTTGATAAAAACCAGTACATTGCAGCGGTATTAATGGATCTTTCTAAGGCTTTTGACTGCCTGCCTCACAATATCTTGCTAGATAAATTATCAGCATATGGTGTATCCCCCCATGCAGTTGCTCTTTTAAAGTCCTATTTATCAAATCGTAAACAACAAATTAAAGTCAACAATGTTCTGAGTGGTTGGGCTGACATCCATAAAGGCGTACCACAGGGTTCTATACTAGGGCCATTGTTGTTTAACATATTTATAAATGATATTTTTCTTTTTGTTAAAAATGGTAGTTTATATAACTATGCAGATGACAATACTTTGTCTTTCTGTACTCCAGATTTTGATTTATTAATTTCAACTTTGGAATCTGAGTCAAAAATACTTATTGAGTGGTTCCGGGTGAATAAAATGCAAGCAAATCCCGACAAGTTTCAAGTTTTGGCTGTTGGCAAAAAGACCTTTGAACAAAACCCATCTATACATATTCAAAACTCGAACCTTACATGTGAAAAAACAGTAAAATTATTAGGCATTGAAATTGACTATCAGTTAAATTTTGATGTTCATATCAGCTCAATCTGTAGGAGGGCATCACAGCAATTAAATGTTTTAAAACTTTTGGGCTCAGTTTTGGATAGACTTAGTAAACTTACTATTTTTCATACCGTTATTCTTAGTAATTTTAATTTTTGTCCTTTGGCATGGCTTTTTTGCACTGAGAAAAATTCCAAAAAATTAGAAAAGGTGCAGGAAAGAGCACTCCGTTTTGTATATGAGGATTTTACCAGCCCCTACGAGGACCTCTTACTTAAAGCTAAGGTGCCCTCCTTGCAGATTAGACGGATTAGAACAATGGCTCTAGAAACTTTTAAGATTATAAATAATATAGCTCCTGTGTGCTTACAAAATTTGGTGAGTGTCAAAAAATCTAAGTATTCTTTCAGGTATGTAAATATTCTGGATGTTCCACAGGTAAAGTCAACCCGTTACGGTAAAAAATCTTTCAAATTTGCTGCCGCTACTTTATGGAACAGCCTTCCAAACCATTTCAGGACTGAAAATAGTTTTTCACATTTTAAACTGAGTCTTGTTCAGTCCTGGAACGGTTTGGAATGTCGCTGTTCTGCTTGCAGATAATTCTTGAGATGTTTATTACTTATGTTGCTTTTGGTTGCTCTGGTCTAGCATGTTTTATTTCATTTTAAATTTGTTGCTAAATTTGTATTGCATGCTATGTAAGTGAGATTTAACTTCGTATAACAGGTTGTTTTATATGTCAAATTAGACTGTTTTTATATGTTATGTATATGTTTTTATATTCGGTCAAAAGCTCCTTAGAGCTTGTGTTGTGTCTTTTTAACTTATGCCGAATCAAAATAAAGTTTTCTTATCTTATCTTATTGTTCCAATGTTTTCTTATAATTTTAATAAAGTTTTTCACCATTTGGTTATATTTTATAATGAGAGTAAGTTGGTATATTTCTTGTTCTATTGGTCTGTAATAACGTAGTTTTTCTATACGTTGTATTTTTAATGTGTTTAATAAAACATTTAGCGCCAAATTGAAGGACTAACGAGTTCTGTC